TAAAGTTGAAAGTTAGACAGTATTGTTGACAGCTTCTGTTCATGGGTGTCAGACTGAAGTTATGTCTATATTTGTCAGATTAACTGAAAGTACAGAAGTATAAGTGAAAATAAGTGATTTCGTTGTACTAATTTACTGGTAACTCTGCAGTCAGGGTTTGGAAATTTGATGATTACTGTTTCAATCAGTAAGTTCTGTAGACTACCGATGAAGGATGAAAGTGACACGTTCTAGTTGTCCCTGAAGGATGATAAATGACGAGTGTTGTTTATAAATTCAGTAACTGAACGAAAAATATCGAAGAGGATATTTGAAACCAAGAGTGTCACTTTGGACTCATGTCAGCGATACTGATGAAAGACGCTATTAGTGTTGGGGTCGAGGCGATGATGTTGTTTTCAGTTTGCAGGAGATTCAATCAACTGCGTAAACTGGTGATTCGCGCAAATGATAGTGTCAGACTACCAACTGAACTGGACAGGAATGAAATCGTCGAGTATCTGGACAGCTGATTGATGCATCGATATCATCTGTTAGACAACAACTACAAGAAAACAATATGTCATAAAATGGAGAAAAAACGACGTCAAAGTCAAATAATTACGGTAATTTGGATTTATTATAACTTCACCTCGAAATAACATTGTTCCTATGTGTACTGACAGTTTTGCTGAACATTAATTTAGGTATTATTTATGTAACAGTCGTAATTATGAATATATACAAACACTTGGGTAGGGTTCATGAATGAATTCCAGAGGTCAGTCAGATTTTTCCAAACTCAAAAACAGAAATAAGATGACTTGCGTGTAAATGCAAAGCATACAGTGAACATTATTAAAGTGGTAATCATTTACATAACCGAAGTTTAGAAGCTGCAGAAATTCAGTTGTTTCGTAAAAGATTTATTCAGATTGCTTACATAGTGTTAGAAAATACATCGCATACAGTAGCGCTACGAAGTATTTAGTTAAGAAATAGAATGAGATTACTTGCATGCATGCAAAACGTCTATCCTCAGTTGGTCGACTTACGAGGCATAAATATACATGAATTCGACTAAAACGTGTCGGGAATAACAGAATACATTACATTTCTATGTAAAGTTAACAAGGAAATGTTATTAGGTATCATAAGCATAGAACGAAACAATCTAATGCAATTATAAACTCGTTTGGGTTGCTATTGCTTCCAAGTAATGAAGATTTAAAGTAATCAGTAGTTCAGATTTTGATTATATCCAGTATATTGATGATTTAATTCTCGGTTTATTGCAGCGTTGTAAACTAAATTTGTATATGTTCAAAATAATTTAAACCAAATGGGTAGCATTGGTTGACAAACAATCTAAACAAAATCTACGATCTCACAAAATTTGTAGTTCAGATTCACCGTAAGTTTCTGACATTATTATCTTCTGTTTGATTATGGAACCCAGCAATAGGAAATTAAGCAGACAGTGGTCAGGCAAGTAGAGCATTTCAGTGTATTACTTCTGACGGAAGAAATGTTTTAGTGATTAAGCAGAAAAATGACTACAATCGACAGTTAATCTTGTCTTGCTTTTACAAGTTTAGAAGTTATGGACAGATGTATGTTCGTGTTGCCTTGCGTTTATGCTTATGAGTGGTTGATATATTAACAGATTTAATAGACAAGAACAGGATGAGCACATAGTGTGCAATAAATTGCCGCAATTTGGTTTCCCCTAGCCCAGAAGAGGACCAGTGAAGCGTTTTACATTCAGTGATCCGAATGCTTGATGATTTGGCTAGGTATCAGTGACATTTCATTGGCCCTGCATTATTAACAAGCAACGATAAGTACTGTTAAAATTGGGGTTTCTGAGTAAACTATCGAGCATCTACTAAAATATTTTCCATTGCAAACATCCATGGATATGATTTGCATGACTTCTAGACCTTCAGTTTTCCGGTGAAAAGCAGATACCATAAGAGATGCCTACTGTTTTTACACGTCAATCTTATTATCAAAAATCTATAATGGAACCGTAAAAGCACTTAATCAAGAAAACTGTGTGCGAAACGGTTGATGCTAATCCTAAACAGATATTATCACTGTAAACTGAAATGGCTATATATGAATTAGATAACAATGGTAAAGTAATAATTCAAACAATTTAGTATGCTGAATAACAAAATATTGCCAATGTCTATGTGAGAAATGTTATTCGAGAGCTCCTCCTAGGATAACCGCCACAAATGAAGTTCATTTGACTGACGAATTTTCTTCTACACGGTTGGTATCCACAACATGAATCAAAATATAAACCCGATAGCGGTAGTAGACTATAATGCAGGTCAAGAGTTTCATATGGTGTAGAGCGGCATATAAGGATGTTATAACACTATTTTATTCCTCAATCACAGGCCGTGGGTAATAGAAGAGACAAGTGAATGACGTAGAGAAAATGTATTTTAAAACCAAAAGTAGCGTGTGCTTCAATTTATTAACTATTAATGACCGTTCAAAATTAATACAAACAAACAATAGATATTGCACATGAGTATGATAACATCTAGAGCGTCACGAGGAAATAAAAGATATGTTCCTTATTTTTTGATTGTAAATAATACTAAATATATGTGTCATTATATATAATATTCTCAAACACTTTATCTCGTCTCAATGTTCCTATGATAAATGGACCTTGTATTACATCAGCCCAAATGAGTAACTTATTATGACGAATCATATAGCGTTTGTGATGAGGCAACAATTTGCGAACGACGTTTGAGAAATGCTAAGGTGACCTTGAGACAACATATCTATTTGCTATGGTCAAATAGGGTTTATAAACCGGTATGAGTAATCTGAATTGCGATTAAATGTTAGAAATTGGTGTTAAGAATAAAAGGGTTTTCATCACTAAGTGATATCAGAAATGATGCCAAAATACCATTTAGCTACATGAATGAATGAAATTTGCTCGAAAGTCCATGACTTGTTATCGTTAATTCAATTGGTTAGTCCATAAATTGCAGTTTAACCGTTGTGAATATTATAGTCAATTTGAAGGCTGAATACCTTTTCTATTATAAAACTTATTTAAATCACATTTGAAAACCACTTTAAAAATGCAAAAGCGATCACGTAATTATACACAAGCCGGTTATCCTCATATCATTATTTCTTTATTATTGGCTACACAGCTTAGCCTGGTGTTCTCACATTCTTTAATCCCAAACACATTACTGAAAAATTGTAAGCTGGCTCACATCACACCAATTTTCAGAGGAGGTCGATGTGGCGAACTTTCAAGCTAATGCTGGGTAGCATTTCTCTCTAAACCCTCAGAAATGATGGAGTCCATGACATGCGACGTTCTACACGACTACTTACTATCCATGAAATTCTTTTCACCACAACAGCACACTTTCAGAAAAAGTAATTCTCATGTAACCAACTTTCTGATCGTGGTGGACAGATGGACAACCATCCTTGGTTGCAAGCTTTTAATGGGGTCAGCCATATATGTCATATCAATAAGCTCAAATGACTAGGTAAAAAACACCTTTAATTGATTGCCTCAATTCACACCTAAGAAGTTATCCAAAGGTCAGTATTAACTTCACTTTACCTCAGGCTATGGAATGTCCTAATGGAATCTCCCAGGGTACAATACTTGGACCTCTTCTTTTCTTTGGTTACAGTAGGTAGGTCTCGTTGGATTTATAAATTTTCACTAACGATGTGGATGTTTAAAGACAATATTGCAACCAAGAGGATAAACTTGCATTTAGGGAAGATCTGACTCGACTTCAAAAATGGGCAGACGACAACGGACTGACCTTTAACATTCCAAAGTGTAAAGTAGTTCATCTGAGAAATTTTACAGACTACGAACACAACTTAGGTGACTCCCCTATAGAAGTATCTCAAGTTGAACAAGATCTCAGAGTGTTGGTACCCATAGATCTGAAGTCTTACTATAACTGCGACAAAAATGCCTTTCGAAGATAACTTGCACTGGTGACGTTGAACATCATTTTCGCTCAGTTCGTCGGAAGAACGCTCCACACAGTCGTTAACAGTTTTATTTGTCCCCATTTAGAGTAAAGAAACACAATATTTCCTTCCTCATTTCAAAATGATAAAGACACACTGGAACGTATGCAACGGCGTGCCGCAAAATTATCTCGGGACTCGAATTCAAGCTATATGAAGAGCGCCTTCAATCACTGAACACTTATCCATTAGATTACAAGCGTCTTAGAGCTGACCTTCTGATGACCTACAACATCCTACACGCTCCTGTGTATCTCTTTAAATACCTAATTGAGCTTGGTCTCAACACAAACATTCGGGGTAACACCCGGAAAGTGGAGACAACACAGCAGAATGGGCTGTAAACACACCATCTACTCCTTGAGAATAGTCAAATGTCAGAATTCGCTGCCATCTGAGTTAGTGCAAAAGATTTAAGAGAAAACGTGACATATTCTTATGGACTATGGACAGTAGCTGACTATGATTTACCAACTTCTTTCCTTTTCCCCTTTTATCGTTAATATACCTAGATCCATACCTGGGGGGGCGTCGGTGATCTACTGCTACCAGATGCAGAAGGCTGTTCAGCGGAAGCTTCTTTTATTCCTTCCAGAACCACGTGAACCGTTTTATCTATTACTTTAAGGTGGAATGTACCTCAAAATTTAAACTTTGGTATAAGTCATTCTACTAGAGGTATCTCTTTCCGCCCAAGATCTTCTTTATTGCCAATAAAACATAGTCCTTAGTTTATGAATATGCGTTTGAATATATAAAAAGCACCTTTTAGGTAACATACGTTTATCCAAATACACCAGGTAAGTCTTACCAGGTATACGGGAAATCGACATTTCTCTGATTACTCACTTGCTAACGAATAATAATTCGCCACATATGCTTTACCCTACATTATTAAATTTAATAAATTCTCATATTAATTTACTTATGATGTTTCGAAATAAAGCTCGAGTGTATTTTATTGGTCCTTCAGTCAAGTTGCGGCGGGAAATAAAAGTGTTTACGTGTCTTTGAAAGTTAGTTTTGTGTGACTGTATGCAACCACACAAAGCATCTGTGTTAGTTTTATCCTTTCAGCAAATAAACGCAAAACCCTCTTAAAGAGATATGTGTGACTAAATTGCAAACTTAGGCCTAGTTATTAATATTTTAAGATTTGTTCTCTTGGCAGCTAAATGGCATCGCCTCTGCCTCCAGTCGATACTGAACAGCAGAACATTATCGATAAATTGGCCGAATTTGTGGCCAGAAATGGGCCAGAATTCGAAGCACTAACAAGTGAAAAACAGAGGGACAACCCAAAGTTCGCATTTCTCCGAGGTGGCCAGTTCCATGAATATTATATGTATAGAGTAAACGAAGCTCGTAAAATTTGGCAGCAGCAGTATTCAACGAAAAATAAATCGCATCAGGTTGGAGTAATACTTTTTGATAATTTTATGCCAGGGTTTATATGGTTTGTAATACATATACGTAGTCAAGTGGGTTGTTTTGTATGCGGTAGACTTGTCATTTTCACGAAAATATTTGTTAGAGGATTAGGCTTAAACATTTGCTTTTTCAGCCGAGATTATATTCCTTGGACGTGCACGTAACTGATAGTCCAGGGTCGACTTTCTGTACTGAAACTAAGTAGTTGTGGTTATATAGCATATCCAAAAAGACCATTGAACCCAACTTCTGGTTTTTATTTTCACAACTAATCCCAAAGCATCAAGTCTGCAGAATGGCTCATAATATTTACTTGGTTGTTTGCTGTTAGTGTGCATATTCAAGAATAACTGGACAAGAACATTAGATAGATTAAGTTACCAATCAAATTAACGTTACTAAGTAAACAAATGTGTATTCGTTAGTGTGAAAGAGGTTAAAATCGTTGTATGTTTATACAGTAACTACTGCGAATCACACTTTTTGGAACTGAAGGCCAATTCGTGTCCCAAGGCACGTTCACTCCCTGGTTACATTTTTATTAGACTCCAAACTTTACATTCACTAAAAAGTAAATAAATAGAAGCCACGTAAGTCCACATACAAAAAGTATGATAAGGGAGATTTAGGGGCGAGATGCCCATGTGATAATTGTTTCTACTTTAATAAATGGATGAATAAATTAAAAATGATAGGACAATCAACCGCATTGATGGGTTGCTCATTACTTATACCCAAGTGAGGAGTAAGTTCATCTCTATGATTGCGTTTAATCGTGGGCCACATTACTTAAAGTCCTTGTATATGACCCAAGTTTAAGCACTAGAGTTTCAAGATTTCTGTCACCGGCTTCAACCCTACTCTGCCTAGTTTCGTTTTAACGTTAGTAATATATCTGATCTCTATAGAACGTATCTAAAAACTGTGCAGTTAAGTCCGGGTTTGTCTTTGGAGTTCCAATGTGTTGTTTAGTTTAATCTGAATTTTTCGACCGTTGATTTTTCACAAACACCGACAGAGATTATAGGCCCGTAATACAGCTGAGATAAATCGGTACTTTCACTCAATCAATAACCTTATATTTTTGTCGGTTTGGTAGAGTATACTCATCTGTCTTCAAGTTAGACTTTTCTCTCTTGACTAGTAATTTAAAACTTTTTCCAGAAATCGCACGACTACTATGATTGTCGTAGGTCATCCTCAACGATATTAAGGCTTGATTGTTATGCCCTATTCTTGCCGTCATAGAAGAAAGACGGCATGGTACTAATTGCTACGTGGCAAGTAGTTCTTACAAACCAGCTGGTCGTCTGTAAACGAGTCGTAGTTCAGACTGCTAAATAGTAAAATTTCTGACAGCGATATTGAGTAGTATATTGAAGTGTTCAACAGCATTCTTTTTAAGATAAATATCGGTTGTGGAAAGCTGTCAAATAAATTTCTAGCTATATCCTTATTCAATTTAACGGTTCATATAAACTCATATGTAGTCAGATAGACACCAGTGTTTAATTCCCTATAAAGTACCTTACAACAGTTTATAAAAAAGCAACAGATAGTAATAGTGAATAGCGATTATATTGGTTGAAGGGTAAATAAATTACAACAAGAAATTCAGCAGTCTTGTACTTCGTGTCTTTACAGTTACTGACAAATAAAAGCTAAATAACCACGGTTTAATGAAGTAAAACTTATGTTACATGATCTAAATAACTTTTTTCTGAAGAGGTAGCTTACGCTAAGTTGCGAGGCGTTAAAAATTTGATTTTATACTCAAGATGTTACACGTATATTTACAATTTCACTAATAACAATCCATTCGATTCCCAGTTTATTCGATAATAATACCTGCGAATGTATTTTTAGTTTTGAAGTCTGTATGAAAGTGTATTTCGATTGTCTCTTGGCTATTGTATGAGTGAATATTCGCATTTATTAATTAAATTCGCACATCCTTCCTGAATGTCTTTTGTATACTTTGTTTGTTTCCTTCATCAGCGATATTTGTACTTTCTGGTCTACTGCCGATACCTTTCAGCTACTAGATGATTTTGCTTCATTTGTCAAATTAATCAAATTTTCTTTTTCCTTCAATGTATATGGATAGAAAACCAATAACCTTGAAGCGTGTGTCCTTAAAAACTTTAACTAATTATATACCACGTTTATTAACAGTCTGATGTTATAAATGCATGTATTCGTCGGTAGGGGTGGGTGGTCATGTGTAATAATGGCTCCACAAAGATCTGTTGGTATTTAGTTCTGATTGATTACAATGTCTGTCGTTGTTAGTTTGGCTCAACGGCCTATTCTATCTTTCTGTTAAGATTCTCAATTCCAGATCCAACTGGGTCAATATGAATGAACAATGGGATCAGTACGGTGGAAATCCAGATCATTGGCAACGTTATAGTTCCGCGCCACCAGGGCACTGTGGATGGGGTGGTCCAGATCCATCATGGTATCCAAAGCCACAATGGCCACATTTTCAACAGGGTGTTCGAATGCATGGCAGTCAACCTGAATATCCATACCATCCTCCTTCGGAAGCGGTAGATTCTTATCGTCATGGAAATTATAATAATCATCCTCCATATGGTTACCCTGGACACCATGGAGCATTCCCGATTCAGCAGTTTTCGTTTGGACCTGAGACTTATCGCGCACCGAGACCTCACTATGATTACCAAGTTTCTGGTGGTTCTGAACTAGGAGAAGCCGATATCGAACAAAGTGAGAAAAATTTGGCTGCTCAGCATGAGTCGTTGCTTGCTCGTCAAAACGTTGAAATTCTCGAGCTCTTAGACAAAAAGAGAGAGGAAAATGTTAGGAAAACTGGAGAGCAATTGAATATGTCTTGGGAACAGATGAACGAAGTTAGTAATCTATTTCCTGTTTTTATTTGACTTATGCTAAAGCTGATGTGGGACTCGCATTAATCCTATTATTATTATTACCATTAGTCTGCATAATATTTTTAGTTTACGTTAAGGAGGCTTAATAATTGTTTAAAACTAGTTTCATGTATAGAATCTCGTTTTGTTTCTTTCTACATTTGTTGTATGTAGGTAGTTAAGTCAAACTTATTAACAGGAAAGTCCAAAAACATCTCATGATTACTTATTTACATGGCTTGCAAACTAAACTTTAGGAACCAAAGTTTTAGGAGGTGGTGTGATATAAGTAGAGTAAATTATGATTTCCTAGCTGCGTACAATATTTATGCAGATATGACTGACTTGGGTGCCGCATATAGCACACTAAGACACTTCATACCCCAGTAATCATAGTTGGTTAGGGTGTCGTTTAGAGACCTTTAACCACTTTAGCGCTTGAAAATACAAAACCAACGATTGCTACGTTATCATTAATGTGGTCGAACTTCTATGTCATTAGCGGACATTTAGTGTTTAAAATGCTTGGCTTTCAGCTATTAGGTTTAAAATTCAAACCCCATCCACCTGCTTTGATTTGGTCAGTCCGTAGTGCTTATGCAAAAATGTAGTCCAAATCTGCGACCAAAAGACTGTACTTTGTTGTGAAGTTGGGATTATTTTATTTATTTACTACTGTTTCATCCTCAGATCTCACAGCAGTTAGATGTAACCTATTGTACTGTAAACGTCGGGGCTTGTGAAAGTAGTTTCTTGGAGCAGATCAATTCTCGTTGGGTAGTAATAGGTAAACATGTTCTAATAAAAGTAATTTTCATCGGTGACCTAGTAGAGACTATTGTCGTAAGCTTCCATACATTTATTTATGGATCTGGACTCCAGAATTTCCCTCTCCCTCCAGTATATTGGTGAATGTTTAGTGCTTCTACCAAGTTACTGATATTTCCTTTATTCGAGAAATGTCACTTTACATATTCGTCAAAAGCTTCACCTGTATTTTAGGTTGTTCTCCTGATACCTTTTTACTGTCGTTTTTCTAATAGTGTCCAATTCTACGGGTTTATCATAGTGATGAACTGTAGGCGTCATTCGAGGTGGGTGATATTAGAAGACTGCTTTGATTACTCATGTATCTATATGGTTAGTGGTGTCATTTTGTAACATCAACTGCTAGACCAAGCTTCTTTAGTAAATTTCCCCATCACCATCAGGGGAAAAGTATAAAATGACTTCTTAACTACTTTTTCTCCCTTGTTTTATTCTGGTACAAATGAGCTTAAATTTAAGTGTGAATAGTTGAAACAAATATTATGAGATTACAAATCGTTATAAGTGGATAATCATTGATGCCAATTATGACAATGTATGTCGGGCGTTCACATTTAATACTATGTAATTTATTTTAATAGACAGTGGTTCATGTCATGTTTCAATTTGGTTTTAAAATTTCACAAAGGAATATGCTATTAAGTATGATATTACTATGCTCCAATTTTTAGATGCATACTAGTCAGTTGAGACTAAAACTTGTTAAATCTGAGATGTGTTTTAGTAGAATACATTAATATAAATGGATATTTGGAACATGATAATTAATTTCAAACGAAAATTTATTTATATATGATATTTTGATTTGCATTAAATCTGTATATTTTTTGTTTAGATGATCCAACCACTCATTGAAGCCTGTACAAAAGAAAATATATCTAAAGGAAAATCTTGGGTTGTTGACAAAATGTCTGAGTCACCTGAGCTAACTAAGCTAATGTCTGATTATCTAATAACGCGTGCAAGTGCTATTGGTGTTACATTCGATTTAAGGCTCCACTTGGTATACCTGTTAAACGACCTACTTCATCATTCTAAACGTCGTGGTGCTCCTGTTCATCTGCAAGTATGTTATGATTAAAAGTTAGAGACGACTTGCAGATTTATACTCATTTTGATTAGTCCCAAAAGACTCTGTTTTCACTGAAATGTTGTCTGTACACTCAAATTTACTTAACAATACTGTTTAACTTACTATGGTTTACACTATAATTTTAATTTAAGGAGCCTACTATCTAAGTAATTCCACTTACAATAAATTTATTATATCATGCTATGTAACATTCAATTAAATTGATTATTTTAGAACGTACAATAATGTTGGACTTTTTTAGTTACTATAAATCTGAACTCGACAGGTTGAAAGCGAAATATCAGTATACATCGAATAATTAAGAATAAAGGATAACAAACAAAAAATACCGTCGTGATTAATGTTAAGCTATATCACCGTAACATCAAGTCCACAACAGTTTATTCTTTTGCGAACCCCATAAGAAAGGTGTAAATTATTGCTTACTGTCAGAGTAGATAGTTACTTGAGGAATTAGTGCTATTTTACCAATTTATCACACTGAAAGGTTTCAATTACTTACGGAATGACTCCAATATGAACACTGTTTAATATTCATATATCATGTCTGGTTTTTTTTCTACAATAGATTATGCGAAATATTTACGAATATCTACTTCTCCGTGCTTTTGTTCCTAGGCAATTATTGTAACATTAAAATGTCCTGTCCACGACTAATTAGCTTTAAATTATTTTCTAAGATCCCAATTCAAATCCGTAGATTATCACCCACTAACAGTTGGTTCGCAGGTTTTGTGACTCTTGTTTATACATTTCGGAGACTGATAACTTGGTTGATCACAGTATTATGATAGTAAAAGTTATTCTTGCTACTCGCGTGCCTAAAGTTTCCGATGATGTTTAGCCTACTGATATATGAAATAGCATCATATCTAATAGCTTATATGATGGGTTCACTAGTGTCATAACTGAAAAATGGCTCGTCAGCACTGTTATAACTGGGAAAATGACCTCGTTTCCACAGTTGTAACTGAATAGCTAACTGTTATATCTGGAGAGCCGTCACTGTTATGTACGTATCGAGTCCATTGAGTCCTCAGTCTTACTGCTTTTACTTTATAGTCGAGAACCACTACAATTTCTGGGAAGTCCTACTCACTGCCTTCTCGTGGCGGGGGTGTTGTCTACGAAAATGAGAGGACGAAAAGCGGATGTCCGACGCTGTAACCGGATCTCAAACCAATGGTGCACATGGGCTCCAGTATCCTGCGGGAACAAATGGCGTATGAACCAATCATTGGTCACCGGCTACCATGGGACTGCATCTCCTTACGATGCTCCACTGCCTCGTGGGTCAAACCTTTAGGTCGCAGGCTCGGAGTGTGGCCCCCTAAGAAAACTACCTGCTTCGGTCTGGGCACCCGGGCAGTATCACAGCCCACACACAAACATGATGAAATGTTGACATTTATGGAAGATACTTTCTTGCGCCAATTAACAATCGAACGATTCACATTATCATTATTATTTCTATTATTATTGTTATTGTTATTATTATTACTTACCACGTCATTTATTCACTCTCTTTTACTCCCACTTTATGTATCCTTATTTTTCGACTTATACAGCAGCTCGCCTATGGTGGAAATTATGCTCTATCTAAACGTTCTCTAGTCACTGCCTGTTTGAAAAATTGTATGTTACCACCGAATACGAGTACTGAAGCAGTTTTTCTGGAACCACGTACACCATTCAAACTGGCTGCCTTCAATGTTCGCACACTTATGCAGGTCGGACAACAGATAGGGCTGGCTATGTCTTTGGAAAGTCTTAATATTGACGTTTGTTGTCTATCCGAGACCCGTATTCAAGACTCTGGTGAAGTACTACAAATTTGCTCTCTATCTGTCGCTTCAAAAAGCTTGTTTTACGTGCGTTTATCCAGGAACCCTGTGGCATCTTCATCTGGTCTTGCTGGCGTTGGTGTCGCACTAAGCGCTAGAGCTGATGCAGCACTAATCGATTGGATCCCCATTAACAGTCGGTTATATGCTGTTGGATTAGAAAGTTCCATCAAAGTGAGAAGAAATCGGCGTGAGAAACGATGTCTTTTCGTCATCTCCGCCTATGCCTCGACAGATTGCAGCCCGGATGCAATCAAGGATGAATTTTACCACCAGTTAACTGTTCTTCTCCAGAAAGTGTGTTCGACAGATATTGTAGTGCTAGCCGGAGACTTGAATGCTCAGGTCGGGCGTTTAGTCACAGAAGAGAGTCGTTTAGGTGGCCGATGGGGACTTGTTGGTCACAGGATAGATAACGGGGACCGTCTACTGCAGCTGTGCACAGACCACAACCTGTTTCTGGCTAGCACTAACTTTCGATACAGTCATCGCCGATGTGCATCTCAAGCCTGGACTCAGATTGATCACATCGCGATCAGCTACCGCTGGCGTGGTTGTGCACAAAACTGCCGCTCCTTTTGGAGTACGTATCTGAACTCTGAACATGCCCTGGTCTGCGCCAATCTTACCTTACTTTTCAGTGGCCAACGAAGTGCCCGCCACCAAAGGATTGATGTTAGCAAGCTGGTTGCAGCTTCTGTTGCTAGTAAGTATCGAACCGAGCTAGCTTCTAGGCTAGCTACCATTCGACCGAAAAGTATAGATGAGCATTGGTTGCAATCGCATGACGCCATCAAAATGGCGAGCAAAGCCACTTGCGGCTTCGCGAAACATCCCGCCTATAAGTACTGGGTTTCTTCTGGTTCCTTACAACTCATTGAAGCCCGTCGGTCTACTCCGGGTGACCGTGAGTTTGACCACAAACGAAGAATGTTACGTAATGAAATTGGACAAAGCTTGCGTAAGGACCGAGAAGCCTGGTGGTTGGAGCTTGCCAATGAGCTGGAAGCAGCAGCTGCATCTGGTAACTACCGGAAAATCTTCCAACTCATCCGAGCCACTGGCAGCAAGAAGTCTGGTGTGAGCGAAACAATCTGCGAGGATGACGGGATGACAATCACTAACATCCATCGATATCTTGGATGATGGGTAGAATTCTTCGAAGGGCAGTTCAACTGGCCTGCTGCTCCGGCACCATCGATCAGACTGTCCTGCCCTCCATGACCGGTGACGACTGACCCACCAAATGAGGCGGAAGTCCGCAAGGAACTCCAACTCTTGAAGACCTACAAATCACCAGGCCCAGATGACTTACCTCCGGCTCTTTTTAAAGATGGTGGTGATTTTCTGACTAAGGAACTAACGACGTTGTTTACAAAGGTCTGGAAACCAGAGAGTGTACCAACGTCATGGAATGAGTCGATAGTTGTCCCTATCTTTAAAAAGGGTTCACGTCGTTCCTGTAACAACTATTGAGGGATAAATCTACTTCCGATTGCGTCCAAGCTGTTGGCTTCCGTCATACTTCGTAGGTTGTTCAAAACCCTAGAAAGATTGACTCGCGAGGAGCAGGCTGGGTTTCGTTCCGGTCGAGGATGTATTGGTCACATCTTTACCCTCCGCCAAATGTTAGAACACCGCCATACTTATCAAAGGCCAACAATCGTAGTGTTTCTTGATATCAGGGCTGCCTTCGATTCGTTGGATAGGACTGTTCTCTGGGATTGTCTATTGAAGAGGAGTGTGCTTGAGAAGTTTATTAACATCCTAAAAGCCCTATACACAAACACCTCAGACAGAGTGAGGGCATACAACCACCTTTTTCTAATATTCCATTCGAGCAGTGGGGTTAGGCAGGGTTGCCCAATCTCACCATTCCTCTTCAACTTTGACATCGATGACATTCTGGAAACAGCTCTGTGGATGTAGGTAGTGGCGGTGTAGATCTGTTGCCTGGAGAAAGACTTCTCGACCTTGAGTATGCGGATGATGTTGTCTTACTGTGCGATAATGCCCAAGCCATGCAATCCGCACTTAATCAGTTGGCAATCAGTGTCCGTAGGTATGGTATGTGCTTTGCACCTTCGAAGTACGAAGTACTTTTACAAGACTGGCAGAATCCTGATACTGCACTCCCCTGGGTAGTGAGCAGATAGAAGTAGTCGAGAAGTTCATGAATTTGGGTAGCCGCATAAGTGCTGATGTTGGCGTGAGTGATGAGATCAATGCACGTATAGTGAAAGCCAGAGCGGCTTATGCCAATCTGGACCATCTTTGGCGCCGTCGTGATGTTGGTCTGGCTGTAAAAGATCGGATCTACAACGCGTCGGTGAGAGTAGTTGCGCTTTATGCTTGTGAAACCTGGGCTCTCCGAGTTGAGGATATTAGACGACTCTTTGTGTTCGATCATCGCTGTCTCCGAATGATTGCTGACATCCAGTGGCAACACCACGTTAATAATACAGAGGTTCGGTATCGTGTGTTTGGGCACAGAGACGAAAATCCAATTGGTGTCACCATCTTGAAACACCGACTTCGGTAGCTTCGACATGTCTTATGAATGTCGTCCTAGAGAATTCCACGTCGTGCATTATTTGCCGACTCTGGGACTGGTTGTAAAAAGCGGAGAGGTGGTCAGTGTATGACATGGTGTCGTCGTATGAAAGAAAGCTGCAAAGGGCTGGCTTGTGTTGGTCCTTCACGACTCCCTGGCTGGGGTCCGAGAGATGGTGCAACACAATGTCTAGAGACGTCATCAGATATGGCTCAGAATAGAAGCCAGTGGCGATCCTGCTGTAACCTTTTACTTTCTTCATAAAAAGTGGTTGTATCTTCCTTAACTGAAAGATTTCTTTTGATTGTACCTTTCCGTTTCCCCCATTATTATTATTATTATTATTATTATTATTATTATTATTATTATTATTATTATTATTATTATTATTACACTACCTTACACTAATCTGTTCGTTATTGTTCTTTTTTACGCTCCATACCTTTCTTTTTCTTCCCTTCAAATTCTCATTGTTTTGTGTGACGCATATATATTTGGTGCCCTCTTGTACCAATATTTATGTGTTCGAATGAATAAATAAACAATTTCTGGATCGCATTGCTTATACCGGGAAACGAGGACGACCACAATTCCCACAACCCAGAGTTAGAATTCGAAAGATTGGTGAAATGAAGGTTTGTCGACTCCTCCAGAATAAGTCTCCAAATAAGTCCCGAGATCACACCATCCTCATACTAAAATTTAGTCACTTATGTACTAATTTTTGCACACAATGTTATATCCAGTATGTTTGAAATACATGATTCATTTCGCAGAGGCTGAGATTGGTATTCTGGACTCAACAAGCAGGGCTAGGTAGGGCGAAGGACCGATAATGACTCTTAACTACTCGTATGGGTTTATGTGTCATACGTCTGGTCGACAATTCACTGTTCTCTAATTGGCGGTATCATTACATTATATGTTAACAGAACACAAGGCTACAAGTTATAACACAATAATATCACATGGGAGGGGGAAATACTTAAGATTACTGTAAAAACACAATAAATACACTTCACTTGAGTTAATACAGGGAATAAAATTGTCACACTTGTCATATAGAACAAATTTTATACAGATTTGATATGAAAAGATATTGACCCAAATTATGTCATCAAATGGATATTAACTATTTCCTAGTCGGATCTTGAAGAGTTGGTTTAACATAACATAACAAAATGTGTAACTTATGTTTAGATCATTCTCTTAGTTTCTGAGTTGCAATTTGTTGTGATAATGAATTTAGCTCATAAATATATTCAATACACACTTTATTTTGATTCTACAGGAAGCTTTACACGAAACAGTGCCGGTAATTTTCTGCCTAGCGACCGAGATTGCAGATGATGAACAAAGAGCCAAAATTAATCGTGTTTTAAGCTTGTGGGAAACCAACTCTTATTTGCCAGTCGAAGTTTTGGTTAAGATGCGACCTCCAGAATCAGGTAAATTCTTAGCGGAATGGAAAGAAAGTCAGTCAAAGGTCAGTGAATTTTGTATTTTTGTGCTCCGCAAAAATTTCATCTTTTTCTATAGAACAGTATGATCTTTTTATAATTTTCAGACCCTAGGATATTTTAATCTACTGAAGACTTAAGTGTTTTGTAATTGAAACTCATTTTTTAAGTGTATCGAGAGTTAAATTGACACAATAACTGGTACAACAGAGTATCGCGATTCATAGAAATTAGTCTTTCCGGAATATTTTTTCCTCTTAACCACCAAACTCCGTTAGTATTTTATCTATCACATGCCGGGGTTTTTACCTTATAAATGCCTAGTTTACTAGAAGGGAAGTTTGTTCCACCGTGTCGTTCATGTTGTGTTATTTAACGTCGTGTTTATTTTACCAACCAGGCTTATAGCGTAATTCACGAATTCGGAGTGTGAAAATAAAGTTTATATCGATGGTATAGTGATATTTGTCTCTGCATTATCGGCGGAAGAAAAGTTGTAAAAACTTGAGGACGATAGTAGCATGCTGGTTTATCGAACGGAAAAGCAGTATTTAAATTCCTTCATAAGATAACTTCCAATTCCATGGTTCCATACCAGGATACTGTCTCATGCTAGTTATTTAATAACCGGTAAATATACCGACTGGATCTTTTGAATCTGCTTTCTAAGCCTAACAGCTGAGGAGTCGTAGTCGAAAAACAGTAGTAACTAGAATGATAGATACTGAACTTTATTAAGCATTAATGTTCCAGGAAACGAAGTCTGTCATAAAGCCATTACTTTCATTATTATCTTAATGTTGCTCATCGTTTTGTCTGCTCTATCCATGGCGTCAGTCCTTGAAGTCACTAACTTCCGGTCTGAGCCATGTTGGTAGATGCAGACTACTTGGTTGGGGTCCAAGTGACTATCGTAACCAATGGTTGGAGACTCTTGGTGACATGGCTTAGAATCGATCACAATGGTGTCGGTGTATACACTCTCTGTCTTCCTTAAACTAAGAGATTAAAATCGCTTCATATCTTTCTTTCTAGGAACTAATTCTTTCTTCCTGTACTATATCCTTATATGCAATCTTTCTTTTGTATATTATCACCACTGAATTAAGTACTATGAATCCGGTGTTCATCTTGTTGTGCTGATGCTGTATGGCAACTTGGACCGATGCATATATGTTCCTGGTCCTACATTGTAGCTGACAGACTGATTTATGTGTTAGTCCTAATTAACTATTTTAAAACTTGTATAGCTATATAATGAGCTATTACTTATTAGATACTACTCACTAATCATATACATCGGCTGACAGTCTAATTCTGAATGCATGAGATAATCTGTGAACAGATGCATATCCCAGAACTGTAAGGCTGAAATGAGACGTCTTCATATTAGTTGAGTCTAAACCACAGTAAACTAATGAATAAAGTCAGTCAGTTAACTACAACGTAGGACCAGGAACATATATGCATCGGTCCAAGTTGCCATACAGCATCAGCACAACAAGATGAACACCGGATTCATAGTACTTAATTCAGTGGTGATAATATACAAAAGAAAGATTGCATATAAGGATATAGTACAGGAAGAAAGAATTAGTTCCTAGAAAGAAAGATATGAAGCGATTTTAATCTCTTAGTTTAAGGAAGACAGAGAGTGTATACACCGACACCATTGTGATCGATTCTAAGCCATGTCACCAAGAGTCTCCAACCATTGGTTACGATAGTCACTTGGACCCCAACCAAGTAGTCTGCATCTACCAACATGGCTCACACTAGAAGTCATTACTTAAAGCACTGATGTCACGTTTTGGTTTGGCCGCTCCTAACTTTCTTCCAATCATCCTTAACACCGGTTAGCATTGCGCGCCGTGGTAATCGGTGTTCAGGCATACGCAGCACGTGGCCCAACCATCTCAGTCGATGAAGATTCATAACCTCATCAACTGATTTAAGATCATTCCCTAATACTCTGCGTTTAACCTCACTACTACTTACCCGGTGATCCCAACAGATGCGAGCAATATTTCTAAGACATCTATGGTAAATACTAGTAGCTTACGAATATCTTCTACTCTTGAAGGCCATGTTTCGCAGCCGTATAATAGAACGGAACGAATTGCCGCGCAGTATACTCGTCCCTTAATTGATAGACGGATATCTCGCCTTCGCTATAGATGACGTAAGTTGGCAAAGGCCAAACGAGCTTTTCGAATCCGTGCTGAGATTTCGTCAGACACCAACCCATTAGGGCTGATCAGACTTCCAAGATATGTGAAGTTGCAAACGCGTTCGAATACTTCACTCCCTATCCTTAGTTCAGGTGTTGACGCAGACCAGTCCAGGAGCAACAACTTGCATTTAGATGGGGAGGAACGCATCCCAAATATCCTGGCATTGTTGTTCAGTGCTACCAAAAGATTCTTCATTTTATCGGAATCTTTACCAAACAGAATTATGTCATTTGCGTATTCTAAGTCGATAAGTGGACCTCCTGTAGGAGATCGTTGCCCGAGAATTCAGTCGACGAGAACGTTGTTTCCACCAGTAGATCTATGATGAAGTTAAACAAAAATGGAGAAAGTGGGCAGTCTTGACGGACACCACTTGATGACAGTTCTCCATAAGCTCTGACTCGACTAGTAGTGTTCGAGTAAAGAGCCTTCACAAGGTTAACGTACTTCTGAGGTACACCTTTCAATGACAGACACTGCCACAGAACCTCTCGGTCAACAGAGTCAAATGCTTCTTTTAAGTCAAGAAAAGCCACCATTGTCGGACGCCGATAGACATGCCTGTGTTCTAAAACCTTGACGAATGGTGAATAATTGCTCTTTTGGTAACAATTATTTCCCTTTGTCATTTTACCTAATATTTAGTTTGAGTTTCTTATTGAATAGTAAGTATTCTACCTGTACTGAAGACCAAAATCATAGTTCCGCTCATCATCCGACAATTGGCAATGTTGGTTTTTTCAGATCACGTTAATTATTAAGTGAAATTATTTTCTAATGTATGTTTGGCTTAAGTAAAGCATGTTCTTTTTTCAAATTAGTTCTGTAATAAATAACGTCCCCTTATCCATTAAATGTGAATTAGAGCTGTTACTGATTCTTCAAGTAGATTTTGGTTTTTAGCAATTAATACTACCTAAATATACCACAGTAACCTTTTTCCTTCAGTTTCAATGTTGATTACTTAGTGTGATCAACCAAGTGCAATATGAAATGATCGTTACTGTTAATTGCGAGATATTAATATACATAATAATTACAATATATTTGAAAGCTCACTCATTTTACGGTTAATCGCTGATGAAAACACTTAGTTAATAATACTGTTTTTCTGTGTATAATGCTGTGTTCTGCTGTTCTATATTGTTTTGTGCAGTTGTATAATACTAACAATTAACCTTTATTTAACTTACGAACTGTCTGGTCAAAATACTCTATACGAACTGTCATTCTCTCATTAACTTGAAAGTGTTCATTGAAAGTACCGCGGTTTTGCCGAAAACTGAAATAGGAAAGTGTAGCATTCTTTATGTCAAATATCTAGACCGGGTATTTCTTACTGTCGAAATAGTATTTAAACAAATAACTTTAAAAAATAACAAGCCATTAGACTTAGACAAAAGAAAAACTGAACTCTTTCGTCATGCATATAATTGCCATGTTGATGAAGGAAAAGGCCAATTATTCGAATTTCATCTAATGTTTTCTTACTGTATTTTATACATATTAGCTAGTTGAATCATTCAATCAATTGTTATTTACATGCTTAAACACATATCGTTCAGTATTCTTTATATTGTCATTACTACGAGATTTTTTTGTTGTTTATCCACAAAACTCATCCTAAGCTTTCGTGTAGAACCCATTAATAAGTACTTTATTTTACCAAGTTTTCTTGTGGTGTAATAAATATTAAATAATTGAGTTGAATTCCAATACCTCTGTAGTGAATGATTTAATAGCTAAATTAGCGAACATTTATGAAACCAATCAATGGAAATTATGAGACTAGTGAATAAAACTAAGTGTTAAAATCATCTCACTGTTATTATTTATTATGTTTGTGGGGACGATACATTGATATGCACAACTTTGTCAGTTGCTATTACACATTACTGTTGTATAAGATAACATCCAGTAGATTACGGAACGCAAAATGGATATTTTTAAGAGTACGGTTTTTTTTCAAGCTGTTCATGTTTGCCTGTTTGTTTGTTTTTTCTTCAGCCGTTTGAAAGTGAAATAGACAAAATAAAAGCAAATATTATGAATCAGTACACTAGTCTTGAGCGACAACATCAAGAGTTTGCAGATCATGTACTACGACAGTTAGCTTCATCACATTCCGATAAGTCTGATGAAGCATCTATCTCTGATAATCATCATTCCCAATATGGATCATCTCATCATCCTATGCAGGTTTGTTCACATTAGCACTATGTATTACACTTTATCATATATATCCATGTATGTGTACAAAACATTAGGATTAGTACTAGAGGCGATCAGGAAGTATTTGTGCATGTGGACATTACTTAGCAGTCGTTTATGCTACAATCGTAGTTCCTGCAAAAAGATTTAAGTGAAATAGTTTGTTAAGTTTCGAAGTGGTCTGGGACTCCGGACATTGAAGTTGATTTCGAAGTATTACTTGTAAAGCAGAATTAATTGTTGCTTCAACTACTTATCATTATGTGTTTGTTTGATGAGGTTGTTGTCAATGCTAGACTTGGCGATATCACTTTTTTGAGGAAAAAATACATGTAAACTTTTCCAGAACATTTATAAAATATGCAACAAGATAATAAAAGTAATAATAGATATTTCTCAAACATTATCATAGACTAGACCTATTATATATTAGATTGAAAGGATTAATTCTGTTCATGGTCTTGCAAAAAGAATTTATGCTACCCAGTTGTTATATAATGTTGTTTGTGCTTATTATTATCTTCTCCGATATTGTAACTAGTGTATCTATTATTTTATAGTATCCAAATCATGCTTTTTTGCAGCAGAATAAAATCTGTCTATAGGCATCATATTACATACCATCTAATTTGATGGTTGGTCTTTTATTTATTATGGTGAATAAATAAATTATTCATTTGACTGAGACATTTTTTTCTACATACTCGATTTTCCATGTTCTACTTCAATGTGTAATCTATGATTTTGAGCACCCTATTTTATATAATGATTTCGTATAAAATACAATTTATTTTTATCCTGGTATTCTTTATTTATAGTGGCATAAAAGTTGATTCGTTGCTAATGAATTAGGAGTATGTATGGACAAATTATATTCGCTCTACAATCATGTTCCTTTCTCTAAACGTTAATTAGAAAGATGTCTTTCGGTAGTACTGTGTAGATACTCAACTGTCAAATTTTTTCTAAGTAGTTTGAGGTTATTACTCCTTAAAAAACAAATATAGTTCAGTTTCGTACTCATAACTGCGATGATCTCCCATAAATTGAGCAGCGTTTTTTTACTTTCCTACCCCAAACTGATTAGAATCATTTTAGATATTGTTCATTGATAGTAATTTGAAATATCTGGAATATGCCTTTAATAAAACATGTTATACTTGATGATTTTTACGCTTTACATATTTTAATCTGAATAGTTTGTAAGATATAGTATATAGATGATATTGTCCTTAGTGTTGTTATGTATGTGTGTTCCCTTGATTGATTCTGCTAACGATTTTATGCATCATTTATGAACAGAGAAGTGCCTTTATGAACTATTATTCTCGGTAAAACTTGTAAGAAATAAAGATAGGTCAGAATAGTTTAATCCACCCTACTGATCACTTATCACGTTATTTGGAGATTTTCAGTCACCTTCAATTAAAGTATTCTTCAAAGCTGAGCATATTTACATACAGTGTCCAGTTCGTTGACTAATTAAGTTATTGAAACTTCAAAGTTATCCCAATTATGACTTTTAACTTGATTTTTTTGAAATGAGTGAAGCTGTAGCTTAGTATTTGATTTCTAACCATCAGTTTGCAAAAACTGACTTGATTAGGTTTTGCTCGCTTCCTCCAAAATGAGTTTAATTCTCAATCTGTTTTAGAAAAATCCTGAAAGCAATTCCTCGTTTACGTTTATTTCTATCAAATACTTTTTATTGTCATTTAACATTGCTAACGGTTTGCTGTGAATTCACTAGTGAAACATGACCTATCAGTTTTATTTTAATTAAGTTTAACTTTCAGTATTTTAGTTAGTCACGTTTAGAATAACTTTGTACTTATTGGTGAGTTTTATATAATCACTGATCTGTCCACTCCTCATTTGACTTAAGTATTCAGATAGGAAAATATTTATTATTTAATTGTTAACGCACTTAATACCTTTTGTTTCCAGAATGTTGATCCAAACTTTACGTACTGGGGTCCACCACCACAGACTACTGGAGGATTCGATATGCTTCCACAGGACATGATGAGCGGGTCAGATCCAAGAGATATGCAACGTCGAATGCCTGGTTATCCCCCACCTTCACAAATTTCAGGGTATACAGGACCTGGTGTTGGTGGAGCAAGTTATCCTCCTCAAATGGGTTGGCCACCTGGGCAACATGATTCTGCAAAATGGAATCAATCTGTGCCGAACTACAACTCTCAACCTGGACATAAAAACTTTGGTGGTCATGAGTTAAGCAGCAATGTATATATTGAAGGTGAAGAACCAGAAGATGAACAATCTGTGTATCCTAATTCGTCTTATGAATGCGGTAAATTCATTAGTAATTAGTGTTTGATTAATTTTAGTCACAATCAGTATTTTGTTTTATTTAAATATTACTTCTGTATATATGTAATAGTTAGTAGCTTTTATACTACTTTCAGGAATAACTTTAAGTATTACCTGGAAGGTGTATATTATAGATTTGTCAAAGGCGGCTGTAACTTTGGCCTATAACCTATCCTTTTATCATATCATAGTTCTACTGTTATATCTGACTTTTAGTCGTCCTTCAATAAATCGATTCTCCTTGTATAGTCTTTAGAACTGCGTGGTATATACTTAGCAGAGATGAACTAAACTGTTTACAAAAAGTAATAATAAGCTTTATCGTTCTATCTTTAATGGTCGTTTCAAGATTTAACTTCAACCACTTCAATAGAAGCTTAACCAGCTATTTGTAGCTTTGATTTCAGCGATTTTCTGTTTGAGATAAAAAGACTGATTTTAATTCACATCAAGCTATATAATCTCTCTCGTTTTTCGTTCTTTAAATATCGGAATTGAATTAATGAGATGATTACCGTTCTTTACTTGTGATAAGTGTTGGAAGAGTCCCGGAAATATACCTCATCAAAATCTCTGGATGCCCAGAAATGCCAGGAAATGTTTTATCCAATCAGCTTTGGATGGAATCTTCAGAGAGACACTTAGAAAATGGAGAGTCACGTGCTACAGTGTTGATTGAATGTTTACCCATATTACTACATTTATTATGGTCCCGAGAATTCCCAGAAGCTCGAGGTTGTGTGTAACTTTGCAAAGACCCTCGTTTTTCTGTTCATTAACTGACCTTAAAGTAAAACTGTTGCTCGTAGTTCGCGCCTGCTCTAGTATTTCAACTGACTTGTAGTAGTCGGGGATGACGGGACCGGATAGAAAGAAAGTTTAAATGTGTCGGTAGCAAGACTTATCAATAAGTATTGACTGGTAAATAAATGCTTTTCAACTTCCAGCGTATCGAAAAATGGGAGAGGAACTAAAAAAGATATCTAAGTTTCACGTTGACCGTCTATCTTCTGGAAGCTACTCGCTCCTATTCAGGCGAGGTATTAGGAAAGTGTGAAATATATAATCTAGTGACTTAGTTATATTTTCTGAAGGATTTTAACGTATTGATTGCTTAGATTGTGTACACCCACTAAATTATTGGTTGATTGTTAATTCTATTCATCCAAATTTATTTATTGGCCGAACATTTAAAATGATATATTTCATTGTTTTGGATGTCGTTTTAATCATTGGTTGGTGCATAAATAAATCCTCACGTAACATTCTTACTTTCTTTATTCCACTGACCCATTTCAGTTTTGTTCCACTCAATAAGTAGCAGAAAAAACTTATTTTTCAGCCAATAATCAACAACCATACCAGTAGTAGCTATCAACAATTTAAGTATGATATAACGAGCCATTTTATTTATGAAAATCCCCGCTTTAAACCACTGAATAATAACATTCTTTGACATTCCCAATTCTTTCTATGTAGTCGAGCAAAATACAAGATAGAAAATAAAAGACGACATTGTATTTGAGGTAAACATTAATTTGTACACTTATGTATGGCACGAAATATGAGTGAATAGACTTGGTTTCTTTTAGATTGTCTCAGTCTGTTCATGCAGTTACAGCATTCATCTAGGGAGTTGATTCTCGATTTGTTTATAAGATAAGGAAATAAAGGACAAGTTAATTACATAGTATACATATATCTGCATGGTAACCCTAAATAATGATAAGTATTTCATTAGGGATACTCTAAATTGATGTCTTTGAATTTTTTCATGTGTTCTTATTTCTTTATAATCGATTACGAAAGTGAAAAACCTGTTTCTTGATTAGCAACCCATTAACTATCTTATTGTATGTACTTTCTTCAAATTTGTCTAATGCAAATCATCTTAAAGAAAAAATCTTATCTTTCGTCTAAGTAAATTTCATTCTATTAGAAAGGTATATACTATATACATTATATGCTATGTACATATTACTATATATACATCCTTTTCTTTTCATAGGATCTTATGGAGGTTATTATAATAATAACAATAACGATTACCGACAGTATGAAGATTCTTCTCATGGTGTTCGAAATACACGAGACAATCAAAGTAATCGTGATGAGAAACCTCGAACATTCCGTGGTAGTCGTCCTTCAAGATTTTCTTCGGCTCCATCTCATCCTGAGACAGGTAATGAAAAGAAAATTGATCGCAGCGATACTGGAAAAAATACTGTCAGTATGGAACAGCAACACATAACACCTAAGATTGATCTAGAAATGCCAAAAAATTCAGAAAATTCCATGATACCGGTTGTTGAATCTTATGACATAAATCAAAAATTCCCCGCTTGGCAATTACCTGCAGGATTAGTGCATCCATTGATTCGATTAAAAGATTTTGATTTTACACCACTAAACGAAAGCAATTTGCAATTATTACCTCCAACTACACCGTCTGAACGTTTGCTTATGGCATTGGAGAATTTCTACATGCCACCCACCCCAGATAAACCACGTGACGGCGAAGGTTGGGAACATATGGCTCTTCATGAATTTTATACGAAAAAAGAACGCGCTCGTCCTTCTGAGCATAAAGAAAACGATGTTAGTCAGTTTTTTTGTAACTTGGAAATTTCACCTAAAATGTTTTGTAATTAGATGTTTCCAATCTTAATATTTATTTATTTATTAGTTTGAATAATTACCACTTGAGGAAAATATAGAGATGACTATCCTTTTGCGCTTAATAGATTTTCTCGAAACACTTATTTAAATAAAAATCATACGTTCCAACAAATTCACAACAATTTCTACGATTATTAAATATTTAAATTAACGTTCAAAAGGGACAAAATACATCACATAAATTAGTTTTCTATCTAATATTATAGTCTAACTACCTTTTACTTCAAAATTCAGTTTATAAAAGCATAATGTAAATATTGAATTGTGTTCTATATTCTTAAGACAAACTTTTTTCATCAATTTTTACCCAAAGAATTTTCAACTGTAATTACACTTAACGTTGTGTACTATTTAAGCCACTCGTTTATTCATGGCTTAATTGCTTTCTTTTAGATTAAATCACAAACTTATAATAATACAATCAACTAAATAATATTTTCAGAAATTATGGATTAGTAAAATATTTCTGACATTTTTATCATTCATATCAATCAGTTTATCGTTTCTATTTGAACAGTTTATATTACTGCGACCAATATTATTGTTTGTTCAGATGAGTTTAAAGAATTATTGATTTTCATTAGTAAATCATGTATTAATAATTTTGATTAAACAGTTTGTAATCGATCTTCAAGCATTTTGCAAGGTATCAAGAATCAACATTTATCTAATGGCAAAAGATAGATTGAAGCATTCTACCTTTAGTTGTGGAGATATACTGTTACGTTTAATATGGTTTGTACATTTTGTGATATTAACGTATATAGTCTCGTTCTTCTGGGTTGTTTATTAAGTAAATATGCTATACCTTCTAGCACTTAATATGTGTATCGTTCTTTTTTCATTTGTATAGAGAGACAACACATCCACCAGTAAAGCAAAGTCGAATCGACGCCGTCAACATAGTGGAGGTAGTTATGCAAGTAGTCATTCGGAATATGATTTCACAAATGAATTAGTTCCAGACCTTCAACATGACATAGTGGTTGACGTTGAAAAACCATTTTCACGCGATAATTCAGATAAGGAAGGTCCCCTTGGACCATCACAATTAGCATATATAACATCTTATCCCAAACTTGCAGTAGGTCAACCTCTTCGAACTGGCCTTGAAGCATTGACATTGGCCCCTCCTCCTATGCAATGTATGCAAGGGCAGCTGACACATAATTATAGTGCTTATAAAACAGCTGGTATTCAACCGGGTATTCCCATACCTGTCCCTCCGTTACCAGGTTTACTAGGCGCCATTCCACCTGGACCAAGTGGATTCCCTAATACAAGCTTTCTACAATTTCCTCCTCCGGTCAATCAGCCACCACCAACCCTTCCACTGCCTCAAGGTTTGATCCAAAGACCCCCACCAGGATTTTCTGTTGACCGTTTTGAATCTCGTGGATCGCGATCTCGTTCTAGGTTTGTGCTAAATTTTACAAGTTTCTAATATATATCTTATAAAGAACTGTTAGATATAATTTTATTATATCAAATCGCTTACAGTAGGCTACAGTAAGTATACTTTATTTACTGAAGATTATTTAATTCCTTACACAGTTTGCTTTGAAATTCATCTTTTACAGATCTGATTCACGTTCAAAGTCTCATTCTCATTCCGCGGATTCACGTTCTCGTGACTTTCGTTCTCGTTCACGATCACAATCTGGATCTCATAGTTCTCAGAGTAGATCGCGGTCACGCTCTGATTCTCGTGATTCTCGTTCCAAATCTGTATCACCTAATAATGATGATGAAACGGGTAGCAACCAGTCACGTGGTCTTTCAAGAGATCGAAGACGTAACAGGTTAGTTGTGTTTATATTTCATACCTGATTTCCCCATGCTTTCTTAGTATGCTCAAAGTATTAGTAGTATACACTCTTGTTTTTCCTTCATGTCTTTCTGGTCTTTATGTCAATGTAAATTGTGGTATAAGAAGCTTGGTATATTCTGTTGTTATGCCTACTTTTTATTAGATATTATGGTTGTCTATTCAATTAGTTGGTGTCTAAATTATTAGCATATGATAAATTACGCTTTCCGTAATTAAAGACATTTGGTTGTGTTACTGTACAACTCGGTTCTATTTAGCTTGTATGTAGTCTTTAAAAATGTCGGGCAAAATAGCAACGAAAGACATGGTAGACAATTGGGAGAATGCAATGTACATCTCCAGGAATATGGATTTTAAGCCCAGAGCTTGGTTTCGGTGGATGGAATTAATATGACGAAACGACCGTCCAGTGCCTCCAGGTTTTCCATGGTGGTCTAGCTTCATTTGACTTATGATGTCAACTATTAAAATTAAGAAATTAAAATAACAGGATCTTGGGAGGTATTTTCAGAAAAATGCATATTTATATAAAACGATAAAATTCAATGGTAAAATTCACTATTTTTCATAGTTTTCATAGTAATTTAGGTGTGAATAATAATCACTAGATGTTAAGAGCCATACGAGCTAGACAGTTAATTCTTCATTGCTTAATATCGCTTATACTTCAAAATACTTTTTTTCAGATCACGTTCACGAAGTTCAGGTTCACCGTTTGCTCGATTCACTTCAGCGCCTGGACCTGGTGGTTTAGGAGCAGCCAGTGGAGGCGGTAGCGGTGGGAATATAAATGCTGCTCGTGCTGCTGCAATAGCAGCTGCGGTTTCCATAGCTAATTCAATTAACGCACAATCTGGCTGGTCGAATAACAATGTTAGTAATAGTAACAATACTAACAATAATATACCCACTAACGCATTTAACAACCAAGGCTTTAGCGGGCCTGGTCTTTTACCAGGTGGTCCGTACGCAGATACCAATAGAATAACCTACTATGGCGGCGGATTTCAGCCTGTGAGTTGATTATATTATTGATAATATAATGTTTCTGACTGATGTTTTTATAAATCCGAAGTATGCAGAGCAAAACTGCATGTCTAGTTACAAAAGTTTATTAAATCACTTATAGATAATTTGTGAATAATTTTTGAAACAAGCTTACGAATGAACCCATATAAATATATATATATATATATATATTTCAGAACCAGGGACAACACAATCGTGGCGGTGGTGTTGGCGGAGGCGGTTCACGTGGTGGTTACAATCCCAATAATTTACCAGGGCGAGGAGGCAGTAATATGCGATACCATGGGTCGGACGATCGCTTTTATCCACCTCCACGCGATCACCAACGTCGATAAAAATGCTTTACTTGTTCATGAGATATTTTCGAATTATACTCTTTGACTTTTGCATTGTTTCTATTAATGAATATCATTCATGTGACTGTAAATTTAAACAATTTAAATACAACTATGTATTGTTTGTTATAAGTTGTTCTTTCTGTTTTCCGGTCAGTGAGAATAAAGTTGTTATTCAACGTAATGTTAAATACTATGAGAATGGTTATAATATACTGTTTGTATGAAGTTTTAATATATAACGAGCAGCTAATGTTTTGTGTCATTTTATTTCATACTGAAAGAGTTTAACCAATAGTGAAAGGTCATTCTTACCATAACATGTTTTAATATGCGAGTTTATGTCTAGTTGGTTAGCATTATATTGTTGTTGAGTTTTAATTGAGATCATGAACCGATCAATATTAGATCACCATTAAAAACCTAGAAGTATTAGACGACCGTGTCGTCCTATGCTTCCAAGTTTCCATTGGTGGTCTAACATTGATCAGTTCATGATTTCAATTATAGCATCATATTGTTGAATTCACAACGGTCATTGCTAAAAAGTTGTCAGGTTGATAAATCTAAGACTTCACCAATCTACAGATGTAGTATTAATATTAAGCAGCAACTTTATCATCGATGCACTCAACTTTTAATCAGTACGTCACAGGTTCACAGTAGGTTATACGTACTTGTGTTTTTCGACAATTTGGCTAATATCACTAGTTGTTACATAAATTGTATAAGCCATTTATATCAACCTGCACTATATAAACAAGTTATATCATAATTTTTATCTCATTATTACTTAAGGTGCAACGACTACCGACTGGAGTTAAAATGAAAAGATGTAGGGTCTGGATTGGAAAAATAGACGACTTGTCAATAATTCTGTTATTAACATTAAACTTGTATTCCCTTCCCTTCTATTTATGTTATCTTGAGATGTTTTGTTTCTGCTTTTTTATTTTGAGTCAGTTTAGCAGCACAAACTTACTTTACTTACGCTTGTTACCTCTCGTGGATGAGCATAGACCGCCCATCAGCATTCTCCATCCAACTCTGTCCTGGGCAATACTTTTCAGTTGTTTTTCATCTGCTATTCATACTTTTGATATCTGCTTCCGATTCCCGAGGCAGTGTATTCTTTAGTTGTCCTCCCTTCAGGATTCCAAGTTAGGGCTTGCCTCATGGTGCAGTTTGATGATTTCCTCAATTTGTGTCTTATCCACTTCCAACATATTTTCCTAATTTCCTCCCCATCTGGTAGCTCGTTTGTTCTCTCTCACAATAGACTGTTGCTGATGGTGTTCGGTCAACGGACGTTGAATATCTTACGTAGACAATCGTCTAGCTGCATCCAAGCTGTTCATTGTATCCTGTGTCTCCTCTGAGATGTCGAGGTTTTCATAAACCAGTCAAATACCTGAAGAAAGATATAGGATGAGGGTAAGCGCCCTTGTTTTACACTGATCTTCGTTTGCAATGTGTCTGTCACTTGTCCTCAATGCACCACTTTGCAGTGTAGTCCGTCGTATGAATTCCAGATGATGTTGGCGATTTTCTCAGCTAGTCACTCCATAGTGTCGAAGAAAGTTCCATAATTTTCTCCTGTCAAATGATTTTCCATAATTAAGGAAGTTGATGTATAGTGACGAATTCCATTCAATTGATTGTTCAACGATAATCCGTAGCGCCGCGATTCGGTCTGTGCACGACCGATCCTTACGGAATTCGATCTGTTGATCTCGAAGTTGGGCGCCTACGGAATTTTTCATTTGGTTCAGCAACACTTTGTTGAAAACGTTTCCTGGTACTGATAGTAGTGTGATGCCTCTGCAGCTGAGTTCTCTCTGATCTCCTTTCATTAGTATCTTGATTAGATAACATTCTTTACAAACAGACGGCACTTGATCTTATTCCAAAATCTTCCTGATTGGAGTGTGAAGCATCTTTTCAGTTACTTTTATGTCTAACTTCAGTGTATCAGCTGATATGACTTCTGAACCTGTTGCTTTCCCACTAGTGATTTAACTGATGGCCACCGTGACCGCTCTGATTGTTGGTGAAGTGACATCTGTAGAAAGATCTGTGTGCTGCTTCGATGTCCGGTGGGTTCAGCGCGTCTTATCAAGAGTTCTTCAAAGTGCACTACCCACCGGTCCCTCTATTCTGGAGTCTCACTGATTGGCTTCCTTTCTTTGTCCTTGACTGTTTACCATGGTTCACTATATTTCCCTGTCAATTTATTCATCGTGTAATATAGTTGTTTCATACTTCCTTCTCTTGCTGCTTTCGCCACTGTCATTGCTGGGCCTTCCACGTATTTCTGCTTGTCATTCTAATGCTCCTCTCTACTTCATTGTTTGCATCACCGTATTCAGCTTGTGCCTTAACTTGCTCTGTTCTCATTCGGCTGTTGTTAATTCCTGTTTTCTTGTTCTTACTTTCTTGAATCAAATACAGGGTTTCTATAGAGACCTATTCGTTATGATGGTGCTTCTTGAGGCCTAGAACCTCCTGATATGTTGAAGTTAATGCTTCTCTGAAAGAGTGAGACCCATGTAGCTTTGTGTATGTGTTCGTCTAAGAATATTATGCCTCCTGCAACCAATTTTTTGAATGCACATAGATCCGCAAATCTCTCACTATCCTTGTTCCTTTATCCCAGTCACTCCATGTCCTCCTGCGATATCTTCATATCCGATATTGTCCATTCCGACTTTGGCGTTTAGGTCTCATCAGGATGGTCAGGTCGTTTCCTGAGCACTTTGCTAGAATGGATTGTAGCGTCTCGTAGAACTGATCTTCATCTTCGTTACTACCATTGGTGGGTGCATAACATTTGAAAATACTCATCGTGGTTACTTCTTTGTTTTGAATGATGCTTTGATGATCCTGGGCCCATGAGATTCCCATCCTGTAAGTACTTTACGTGGTTCATTGAACGGCATCAGTTCGACTCCTTGTGTGTGTGCAAGACACTTTCTCCTTCATGACACCAGTACATCAGCATCTTTCCCGAATCTAATCTTTACTATTCAACTTGAGTCCAATTGGTTTCATTGATTCCTAGAACTGCCAAGTTGTATCTGCTTATTTCCGTAGTTGTTTTACTGGTTCTCACGATCTCCCACATTGTCTGAATATTCCATGTACCTATATTAATTGTTTCTCTGGTCGTTAGAAGTTGCGTTGGCCTCGTGACTTCCGAAGAATTTCGGCTTCCATCATGAGGCGTCATAATTCTTCTGAATGAATATCCTTCAACTCGGAGGACAGAGTAAATGTTTTAATTTGTTCATTCTGGTTAGTGTTTTGAGCAATGCGGTTTTACACGGGATGCGGTCGCTTACCCGATGCCCAACCTTTCGTGTTTACCTGGGCTTGGTAACGGCAGTAAACCTAGGAGAGCTGCAGGCGGAGTTATGTTACACTGAAGCAATCATTATTTTACATATGCAATTTCGCCGGTCACATGACATTGTGAAAGCTTTCTTAACAGTTATTTATTTGTCCTTCATTACATCAGGTCGACGAAGCTGGTCTGCAAGAGGTAATAAGATACATGGCCAATTTTATTGTAGTCTTGTCTCAAATGGGACGATATGCTGATTTGAACTATTCTAACAATATTAAACGAACAGTAAATCGACTGTCGCGAACTATACAACTTAAATGGGTGGAAGCGGTAGATGATATCTTGAGGAGAGAAATAGAGCCCAATTTCGACGACTGGTTACATCTTTTAGAAAAGTTATTGTCCGTTTGTTACCACTGTTGTCTTCAAGCAACAGAAAAATGTACATAAATCCATCTAGTTGCATGATTTTTTGCCTAATTAGTAGAGAACAGTTGCAACATGAATTTCTCGGAAATTCTAATGTAAACACATGATATGTAGAATCAAACAAACGGGGAATTCAGTCATTCAAAGTATCGAATGAGGATAGCTTGTATATCACATATTGACTGAAGTTAATAATTCCTAGATCATTGAAATATGACTCAGCAAGCTGCAGTTATCATACTTGCCACTAAGCTAAAATGTCATGAATTTGATTATATACGATTTCATATTTCCACATTATCACGTCATTAGAAAGAACAACTTTCAAGTACTCATTGGTTTTCAATGACATCCAACTAATGTCAAGTTGTGATATACCTTTCAATTGTCTATTTTTGTAGCCTTAGTTTGTAGACTGCTTTATTGTTTCAGTTTTCATTGTTACGTTACTTTGATGCTCAAACAGGTACATACGTCATGTATCGTGAATAGTTTTAAAGACTCTATTGTTATCTGATAAGGAAAACCATTTATTACTATTGTATTTCAACATCATTATCTTCATTATATCGGATAAAATTGTTTGTTTTCCTTTTATTTTTTAAGTCTATCCTTAACCTGCGATATACCTGATTACACTAAGTCAAATTATGGTAAAAGTATGTGTGGTTGGTTGTTTGCATGGAGAGTTAGACTGTGTGTACGCCGACATTGCAGAAGCCGAAAAACAGGGTCAGTTTAAAACTGACCTGGTTTTATGCTGCGGTGATTTTCAAGCTGTTCGCAATCCCTGTGATCTAACCACAATGAGCGTTCCTTCCAAGTATTACCGTATGGGTGATTTTTGGAGGTATGTAAATGTTTCTGTTTTATTTTTGGTCATTTAAACTGATGTATTTCTTATGTTACAATCACGGACAAATAATCATTAGATCACTGTTGTTTAACAACTACAAAGGAATTAAATTTCACCGCATTGCGCAGGCCAGTAGTTAAGTGGATAACTCGATGGCGTTTCAAGCGGACGGTACGGGGTTGGATTCCTAGAGTAGACATCAACTCTGGGTTGCAGGTACATCAAAATGACGAATACCAAACAAGACGAAACGCGCGTCCTGGATTCTACTACTAGCCGCTGTCGATCTCTGCCTATAGTGCTTGTATCTGAATGATCACGTCGAAGCAATCCGTATAGTTTGCCCATATACCGAAAACAGATTGACTGATTTCATTTTTAAACATCAATGGAATGATCTGAACAACCAATACAAATAAATGTTGCTTAATCTTTTAAAATGCTTTGTAAAAATTGATATTGTTCTGTTATTAGCACTTAAAGTTATCGGTGTACGGTTTTATTGAATGGAATATATTTCAAATTTTTAATAAAGCTTGTATATCTTACCCACAATACTGGATTTTATGTACATATATTTAGTCATTTGTGTTTATGACACAGTTATTATTAGACCATAAAGGTTTTAACTGATAAAAATATTTATTAGATTGCGAATATTTCAGGTGTTTTATCATATGTCAGATGTTCTCCGATGAATGACTTATGTACCTACCTATTCCTGTGAAAAGCACCTCTTATCATGTCCCTCAATAAACGAAAACGCGGAATTAAAATATGCCTGATGCTTATCTATTCTGACAACTGGTCCACATTCTATTTTCTCTATTATTTCTATAATTTATATCTCTATTGATTGATGTCATTTATGTAAAAATACATATCTGTAGGTATACATTATAGTTTTATTTATAGTATTCGGTGGATAAGGTTGCTATATCATGAGTTATTTTGGTAGACTTTTGAGAAATTCATACTATTCTCCATTAATAACCTTCCTGTTAAGTGAGCTAAAATAAACATCCCGAAAGTTAGTTCTTCCTACTTAAGAACTACTGTAATTCAGAAGTAATAGGCTATCAGTTCAAATTGCACTTAGGTGTTAGCAAAAGAAATAAATTTAGTCGTTTTTTCGTAATTCTAAACGTTCTTACAATTAAGTAGTGTAAATCTAGTGAAATGAAAGAAATCATAATTTGTAAATTATAAACTTCCATGTTTGTTTTCATTTCATTATTTTTCAAAGGTATTATGCTGAAGAAAGTAAAGCTCCTGTTTTGACATTATTTGTTGGAGGTAATCATGAAGCATCTGGTTATCTTCAAGAGTTACCATATGGTGGTTGGGTTGCTCCAAACATCTGGTATATGGGTAAGTTCATTTTCAATTGGTCAAGAAAACACATCTCTGTAAATCGTTAATTTATTTATTCCAATACTTGTTATTTTACCTACTAGGTGTGAATGAACAACTTGCAAATCTAATTATTTTAACAAGTATCTTTACGATAGATGTGTAACTCATTATGGTTTTCATAAATTGTTATGCAATTATTAAATCGCATATTGTTGATATTAGTGAATGTTTTAATAAACTTATATCTATCTGCAGTGCGCATCCACGATCCCGCTCGCGGGATTCGAACCCATGTCTCGCACGCGAACGCTTAATCTCTAAACCACTGGACCGGCATCCAGCGGTGTTAATATCTAACTTCAACCAATCCATGAAATTGAGCGACATATCCACCATTGTCTTCAGTGAGTTACTATCGCACAACAGACCTGGTTGAACTCCACTGGTCACGGCTTCTCACTAGAACTCCAGGAAATATCTCGTGAAGCCAGTCACTGGTCAGCATATGATTATTATTATTATTATTATCAGAAATGGATTTTGTGGAGATTGTAGTAATTTGATAGTTGAATTCACGAGTCAATTATAGCTAGATCACCATGAAAAACCTAGAAGCACTGGACGGCCGTTTCGTCCTAGTATGGGACTCCTCAACAGTGCGCATCCACAATCCCGCTTGAAGTATTTTCAGATGGTCCGGCTTTAATTGACTCATGAATTGAACTATTAAATTACTACAATCTCCATTAAATTTATTTCTGATTATATCTAACTGTTTATTCATGCCTGTGTTCACATTCCTTATCAAACAGATTTTTCCACCTTAATTACTACATGTATCTACTCTTTATTATTAATTTAAATTTTTTTCTTTAAATGTTGTTATAACTTGTTGCCTGGGTGCCCTGTTAATGTATAACGTGATGATACCGCCAATTAGAGAGCAGTGAATTATTGATCGGACCAAAGACGCATAAAACCCATGCGTGCAGTCTACAGTCCTTATAGGTCCTGCTTCCTGCCCAGCTCAGCCAGTTAACTCCAGAACACCAATCTCAGCCTCTGCGATATGAATCATTTATTTCAAACATACTGGGTTTATATACCAAGCAGACACACCACATCGTACTATAAAATATGAAACAATATTTGTACAAGATTTAACCAAATATGTGGGAGGTAGTAATTAATAGACACTGTATAATTCAAGAATGGTAAATCGTATAATAACGGTTCATAGGTCAGAATAAAGCTCATAATATGAGGAATATGAATAGTTTAGTTATTTAATAATTATACGATAAAAATATACGTTTAGTATTGGTTCATAAATGTATCCTAAAGTTACCATTCATTATTCTTATCGGGATATAACAAATGTATTATCTCTTATTCAAATATTATACTAAGAAAATAAGTATATAATAATTCTTTTTTTCAGTGAATACATCATTCATTATATCATTTAATATTTTAAAAGCTTTATTTACTTTTAAATAATATTGTGGTGTGGATTTCTTATATCCATCTAAGTAGTATATAACTGTGGTCAGGCATATAATGTATTTAAGTAGAAGATCGAGAAGGAAAGAACGGAAATGGAACACAATTGGCATAAAAATGCATGAACAATGAAATCTGAGACAATGAACTGATATTTGCAAAAGATACAGTCAAGTTAGAAGGAATGGATTGATATTTTGCGAACTAACTATTTACTATATGGTTCTCAGATTTTATTTAGATGCTCTGTAATTTCGTGTCAAATATATTCGATTGTCCCCACTCGTGCTCCTGTTCACTACATTATTTCTATTATAAATTTCTGTTTAATACATTTTACAATTGATATTAATAGTTTTCTTTTGAATATTTTAATTTACTACTTGTAATTTATCAAAAATTTTATAGTTTATTTATTTATGTTAATGTTAATTTTTAAATGGATATTTATGATTAGTTTAACTTTTTAATATGTTATAGGTTGCTGATAAAAGTATTCAAATCATTTGTGACCATAGTAATAAACAAAAAATTGTTGTGTCATGAATTTATCAATTTTTAAAGTGTATTTTCTTATAGCTATTATATTGACTTGCTAATTAGAGAGTTTTAAGCTATGAATTCAATATTTAACTGGAGACATTAGTAGTATATGATGACTTTGGATTTTTTCTACAAGATATAATGACTGTCGTTCATACCTTGATTTATAACAGCTGGTCGATTGATTTCGTCTGTCAACATCAATTAAACATATTTGTTGTTGAACTTTACAATGTGTCACTTTACAATCTGAGTTTCATTGTCGATATTCCAAGGAATAGTTTTATAAATTCTACTTGTAAGCATAGTGGTATTTCAATGAACAACAACACAAATGGGAACAACCAAATGTGTTTAAATACGAATTACAGAGCTATTTGGTAAAATGTGAATACCATACGTTCAATACTTCATTTGCGGAATGCCCATCAATTGTCTCGGACTTTGTTGTTCCTTCATTTCCATATCAATCACTATTCTCTCCTATTCGATCTTCTTAACCTTCTGCTGCCAGGCATTTCACTTTCGATTGGTGTTACGTACTACTTATATCCGTCGACTTAAGTAGCACACACTACAGTATTCCATACATCTTAGTTAACCTTTTGTTTTAGGTAAATTTATGTTATCTTTAACTGGTCATAAATATTGGTAGAGTGTTTTAAGTCTTTAGAGCTTAATAACGGATTTAAATACGAAGTCGTGCATAGCATTTATTCTAGCTTTTAAAACTAAATTCTTACAGAATCATTATTCCTAAATAGCGTAGGTGTTTGTCCGCTAGATTACATTATAAGCAATAAATTAATTCTATAGTTTTTCGATTATTCTATATTTCGCTTTAAGAGGCTAGTACTATGTTTTTTCCGTTTATATGAATAATGCCGATTCGCACATGCAGAATTTCGTCCATCTTCACTACCAGTTAGAACATCAGAATTCTAATTAATTATCATGTATTGATGTTATTAACCTGAAAATCCATATGATTATAACATACATACGAAACAATTCGACAGCATGGCATACATAATAAATTATAGTTTGCACATGATTACGGTCTTTTTAGGACGAAATCTGAGTAATAGGTGTACAATTAATTAACAGAAATCTAGAAAAATGAACAAAGATAATAACATACTACATATTAGTTATTAGATAATTATTTATTTAAAATACATCTGATAATTCACAAACGAATGGCCTACAAGATTTCTTATTTCCATTTATTTGCCTATTCGTAACAATCCCGAACACGGATTTTATCTTCCATTTGATTACCTCAGAGATGTTGCAAACACGTGGTTTCTGTAGTACCTTTTTTTCAAAAGACCTCTCTAATATACTATAAAAAAGTACGTAAGAAATGTCATTCTTTTTGTTCATTCGTTTAGATGTGAGAATAATATTTGGAATCAGAATATGAGTTAACTGTTTCATTTTATGTATACACTTATGATAAGTTACCACAAACACTTGCATTTTCTTGGGATGTTACAAATACATTTTGTTCTAAACTAATTGGTTTTCTATTTAGTAAATGAGCTGTCTTTGCTGGTTTAGCGTAAACTGTATTTCTTGCGATAACAAGCTTGATTACCTTTATAATTAAAAACATGTTTTATATAAGAATATCGGGTAATCTGTTCGGATTTTTTATATAGAAATTTGCATTTGGCCACATATAAGTATCCCATGCTATTTGTTTTTATTTATTGGTTCTTAGAATGTTACTTGTATCGTGTTTTCTTATTTTACTTTTATAGGTTATGCTAGTGTTGTCCAATTTGCTGGATTACGTATTGCTGGGTTATCAGGTATATACAAACAACATGATTATACCATGTGTCATTATGAACATCCACCATACTCAGAAGCAACAAAACGTTCTGTATATCATTTAAGAAACTTGGAAGTTTTCCGACTAGGACAAATTCGCCGACGTTTAGATATAGTGATGAGTCATGATTGGCCTCGAGGGATATATCATTACGGAAATTTAAATCAATTAACCAGAAGGAAACCTCATTTTCGTAATGAAATTGAGTCGGATTCATTAGGCAGTCCACCCGGTGAACAGTTGTTATGTCGTTTAAAGCCACGGTATTGGTTTTCAGCTCATTTGCATTGTAAATTTTCAGCGCTTGTTGAACATCCAGTAGGTTGATCACCTATATTTATGTATGTTTATATTCATTGTTCTAAATATAGTTCAGTTCAGGGATTTTTTTAATCTACAAACTGCCGTATTCATTAAATTGTATCCTGAGTTTTGTTGAAAGAAATTTCAATTTGATCGAGTTTTCTCTTTAATTTCTGTCTCTGTTTCGCATGCTACTCAATTTATTAATTACCATTTAAAGTGAATAAAAAATACCAGGATAATTTACATCGATAGCTTTTGTAGTCGTCTTTAAGAATACAGTTTGTAACGTTCATCGGAGTAAAAGTGCTAATACTGTATGAATAATTAGATTCAATTATATTACATCCGTTTGTTGGATTGATAATTTGTGAGGCTCTTTTTCAGTCTTGGCGTCATATTGAGAATTAAATCCACGAATTTCAATCAAAACTAAATTTCAACCGACCAGACATTATGAATCATATTGATCACTAAGTCTCCAGTTCAGTCATCTTAGTTCTTTAAGTCTCATTTCGACAGCTGCATAATGTTGTCAGCATTTATGTGGAAGAAATGTGACCATGTTATTTCAATTCCATACATTTTAATTGTAACCATCACTTTGTGTTTTGATAGTTTTAATACTGACGAAATTATCAGATTACGATTTTGTTTTGCAAGGATTATCTAGGGCGATCATTCTTCGACTCTGGTGAGTAATTTTTTTTGAGTAATCTCTTGAATTACAAATGTTGCTGAATCGAAGTACCACCTTAGATATATGAAGAATAAAAAAATATTTTAAACGAACCACCCAGTTCAATCAGACTATTTAGGATAAATTTTTGTATGAAAACTCAACGACTTCGAAATCCTTTTGTAAATTTTTTGTTCTTTCACACTTTGTTTTCGTGTAATAATGCACTACTGTTGTTCTGTTTATCTGTGAAAATGATTTCTATCGTAAATATGGCATCAAAACGAACGTATAGAAATGGCCTTTAGAAATCTGTTGTATGTAATGACTGTAAACGGATAGTAATAATATTATTTCTAGTATTGAGAATGGTTTTAATGGTTGGTGTATTGTTTATAAGAATTGAGATGTAGTCATAAAAATGACTTTTGAATTTCCTGAATTGGAAAAAGGTTGTCAGTTTTCTTCCTAACCTGGAGAGATCCCTTTTTGTACGAAGCATCAAACGAAAACATCCATAGTCGTTTTCTTAACTTTCCATGATGGGTCAGCTTTTATTCAACTAAAAATTACATTCATCTTTTTTCTATGTCCATTTTCATCGTTCAAGTCAGCTGATTTCTCTTTCAAATCAATGATACTCTCATTTAAATAACTTTTACATATTCTCGTTTACCGTGTTTCTTTTACAGGACTCTAAAACTAATAAATCACGCATCACTCACTTTCTAGCTCTTGATAAGTGTTTACCGAATCGTCACTATTTACAATTCTTAGATATTGAACCTGAACAGAAGTATGATGAAAGTTCAATTAATTCCGATTCTAATTTATCTTTATCTCCACAACTTGGAGATGGTCCAGTAATTGTCAGTCTTTCTAAATGCAAATCAAACGTCAACGATTCGGAAAAAGACTTAAAATTGAAAGAGCCTAATAACAATGCTAGTTCAAACGATGAAATAAATACCAACTTGTATCTTGATCCCGAATGGTTATCTATTCTGAGGTCAACAAATCATTTAATGTCTACTAGCAAAGTCCCATGTATTCTTCCAGAAAAAGAAACAAGCGAACGGTTAGTGAAATCATTTTATTAATTTTATTGGTGATGTATATGCTGATAATTTACTCAATAAATCCCATTACAGATCATTTGCTCATGCTATCATGACACCAACCAATGACTAATTTCCTTATTATGTTCTTATTTATAATAACAAGTATTCCAGTTAGTTTAGTTCAGCTGTCACTTCGATAAACAAACGTTGAATACTTTGAACCTTATCAGTTATCATCTGTATTCCATTATATATGTGAAGTTCATTAATTTTATTACATTGGTTATAAAATTTTGCCCAGCGACTCATCCACCTGTTCTAAAGTCTGTTGTCGACTTATGAATTATTGGATTTTTCACATGACATCAATGTGCTTTTCAAACTGTTGACGTTAAATGTGTAGTAAAATATTAGATCATTATTTATGAGTTTTCATAGGATGTCATTAGCTAACTAATCGATTTGTAATCAACCTTTTTTTATTCAGTTGTGATTTTTCCGCTACTGATGATGAAATTCAGGCTTTGTATGACCCTTTTGGTGGAGATTTTCAAGTTCCTGACAACTTTGAACGTACTGCTGCGATTCACAAACCGAATGAAACTGATCATATAAATACAAAGACCACGTCTACGCCAATTAGTTTGGTTCAACAAGCAAATGCTTTAAATAAAGAACAACAACTTTTTTCAAATCCACAAACAGAACTTATTTGTGCTATGCTTGACTTAATAAATCCTAATGCACTCTTTCTTGGCAAACAATCATACAGTTTGCTGGAATTATCAGCACAGTTACAATCTAAAAAGGATGAAGAGGAGGATGACGATGAGGTTGAGGAAAATCCAGAAGAAAATATTTGTGATGATGTGAAAAATGACGAAAATCAACTTGATGTTAATGAATATCCATTAGATGTAAACACTAGCTGGATAACCTCAGACTCATTCGTCAAAGAGAGTTTTACAGAGTATGATCCGATGAATAGCACTTTTGTATCAAATACTAACCAATCTAGTCATAATCCACTTAGCAATACAAATCTTTATGATAGTGTTGTAAGTCAAAATCCTGAAGAATTGGTATTAGATGATATTGAAGATAACGATGATGAATTTCCCAATGAGTCTTACTCTTTAAATGTCTCTCAATACAACACTAGTTATTCTCAGTTCACAGATTTAAATAAATCAGAGCAAGTGTACATTCCGCAGCTTTTGCCTGATTCCTAATTATTTAATCGACAAAATACATTATTTTCTTTTTAAATTACATACAGGGTGTTTCTTTAACTTTTTCCAAAAAGTAATTTCATATTTTATGGGAGTTCCAACTTGTAAATGTCTTTTAATCCCTATATGTAACAGTTTTGTATACCTTAAAGCTAAAATCTCAACCATATATATTGTCTTATGTTGTAACTGGTGCAAATATGTTTTGAACAGAAACTTTGTTGTGTTATGCTTGAGAGTATACTATTCACGGTTTTCAGGAACAGTGTTTCATTGCACTTTTGAAATTCAGCGTCATTAGTAGGGTTTGCATTGAACTTTTATTCTCTCTTTGCTAGGAAAAGTTACAAATGTAACATAAGTTTGTTCACATGACATGGTGCGTGATATCCAACAGATATGCAGTAATTACTTTATGTTTTCAATATTGATGTAATTGAAAAAATAGAATTTAAAAACTCCCTCTAGTTATTTCAAATATGAAAACACAAACAGAATTGTCGGAAACGGGACAACACAACCGTCCTAAAACTTTCTATAATTATCTAGTTGTTCACAAGTAAGCAATGTTTTATCAAGTTAGACCAATAAAAGACCAGTCGGGATTTGCAATCTGTTCTTAGCTATGTAACTATGGTTTGATTGTAGGACTACTTTTTTCACTTAAGTTAAACTCTGAATAATTTTTAAGCAACTGTAACGGAGTATTTCGAAACAGCAATGTGCAAACAGCCAGTTACCTAACCCACCAGCTTCATTAGTAACTTCATATTTGATGGGTGGTAGATGTTGATAACATTCTCGTTACTAAGTTACTGAATGCATTTGAACAGCTTTACTGTTTAATACGTCACACTACAGCACTTCTCTTAATAATAGTCGTCGGCCGATTGATCGATGTTGTGTATGGTATTCTTCTAGTCAAATAAGTCACATTTTCTTATTCTCACCATCTTAAACATCGTATTTTGGTTATTGTTGCATGTTTTTGTTCATAACAAAACTTCTTTTCTTCAAGATTTTATGGTGTATTGCAGTATCAAAACGTATAATTGACATGACGGATGGTTTTCAAATTTTTTTTCCTAAAGCACACGAGACTTTACACGCTATGCCAGACCCAGAATAGTGAACCAGTTTAACACTAGATAATTCTTTATTCAACACTTACAAGCAGTCATTTTCTGTGAGCCCGGAGTGGAAGTCAATAGGAAAAAAAGGAAATCATATTTAATAGTCAGTGGGTTAAATGCCTATTTGTCCACACTCAATGACCAATCATATTTTATTCTCAATACCAGGTAGCTTGTTGCCTCATATTCATTTGGAAAAACTGATCAGCATTATGAGACTAAATCTCTCCGCCCTTAAGTTGCATGCATATATCTTCTCCCCCATGAAACAGATCAGCTGTTTAGCCTTAAATAAGTCAATCTGTCTAGGAAACTTACTGATCACAAATAAAACGTTTCTTTATCCAAACGCCATTAATGCAGAATTTCATACCTATTATTATACGTGATCTTTTCTATGCTATATGTGATATGCATTTAGTAGAAAGGTTGCCATAAAGTAACCAGACTACTGTTAATAAATTGAGTGAAAAAACTTGTAGGTTTACTGCCGTTACCAAGCCCAGGTAAACACGAAAGGTTGGGCATCGGGTAAGCGACCGCATCCCGTGTAAAACCGCATTGCTCAAAACACTAACCAGAATGAACAAATTAAAACATTTACTCTGTCCTCCGAGTTGAAGGATATTCATTCAGAAGAATTATGACGCCTCATGATGGAAGCCGAAATTCTTCGGAAGTCACGAGGCCAACGCAACTTCTAACGACCAGAGAAACAATTAATATAGGTACATGGAATATTCAGACAATGTGGGAGATCGTGAGAACCAGTAAAACAACTACGGAAATAAGCAGATACAACTTGGCAGTTCTAGGAATCAATGAAACCAATTGGACTCAAGTTGAATAGTAAAGATTAGATTCGGGAAAGATGCTGATGTACTGGTGTCATGAAGGAGAAAGTGTCTTGCACACACACAAGGAGTCGAACTGATGCCGTTCAATGAACCACGTAAAGTACTTACAGGATGGGAATCTCATGGGCCCAGGATCATCAAAGCATCATTCAAAACAAAGAAGTAACCACGATGAGTATTTTCAAATGTTATGCACCCACCAATGGTAGTAACGAAGATGAAGATCAGTTCTACGAGACGCTACAATCCATTCTAGCAAAGTGCTCAGGAAACGACCTGACCATCCTGATGAGACCTAAACGCCAAAGTCGGAATGGACAATATCGGATATGAAGATATCGCAGGAGGACATGGAGTGACTGGGATAAAGGAACAAGGATAGTGAGAGATTTGCGGATCTATGTGCATTCAAAAAATTGGTTGCAGGAGGCATAATATTCTTAGACGAACACATACACAAAGCTACATGGGTCTCACTCTTTCAGAGAAGCATTAACTTCAACATATCAGGAGGTTCTAGGCCTCAAGAAGCACCATCATAACGAATAGGTCTCTATAGAAACCCTGTATTTGATTCAAGAAAGTAAGAACAAGAAAACAGGAATTAACAACAGCCGAATGAGAACAGAGCAAGTTAAGGCACAAGCTGAATACGGTGATGCAAACAATGAAGTAGAGAGGAGCATTAGAATGACAAGCAGAAATACGTGGAAGGCCCAGCAATGACAGTGGCGAAAGCAGCAAGAGAAGGAAGTATGAAACAACTATATTACACGATGAATAAATTGACAGGGAAATATAGTGAACCATGGTAAACAGTCAAGGACAAAGAAAGGAAGCCAATCAGTGAGACTCCAGAATAGAGGGACCGGTGGGTAGTGCACTTTGAAGAACTCTTGATAAGACGCGCTGAACCCACCGGACATCGAAGCAGCACACAGATCTTTCTACAGATGTCACTTCACCAACAATCAGAGCGGTCACGGTGGCCATCAGTTAAGTCACTAGTGGGAAAGCAACAGGTTCAGAAGTCATATCAGCTGATACACTGAAGTTAGACATAAAAGTAACTGCAAACATACTTCCCACTTTATTCAGTAAGATATAGGAGAATCCTAATAAATTTATAATGGTATGTTTAATAAGCGGATAAGTTTGAATATAAATCGTTAGAATTTAGTTGGACAAGTAACTTCTTCGGTCTGATAGTCACATATTCTAAAAAGCTGTGATTCTTCAAAAAGCTTTGTCTCAAATCTCTAATGATCGTAGAGTTCGCGGGCTTGTCAATGGGTAATTTTGTTTGAATTAGTCCTGACTGATCTGCTACAAGAGATATATTCCACCCCTACTAGTATACTGCCCAGTCTAATAGACCGACAGGTAATCGAGAAAGCCCAACATCACGAGACTTAGCTCGGCATATCTTATTAAAAATAGATGTGAAGGATAAAATATGGTCCCCTTACAAGTTAGAAGAATTAAACATAACCTTACTTTGCTTTTAGAAATACCACATAATAAAAATACAGTACATTGCAATACCTTGAAATTTGTCATAAAGCAGTAGTTATGATCTTCAGAATCTGGACATATTGCTGAAGATGTCAGAAACATAAAAATGATAGTCACCTTTCTTGGTTACACGTTATGCGAGCATCTGGAACACACGACCAAAGACACCCGGTGAGGTAAAACTCGCAATTCGCGTTTTCTCTAGGCTGTTTTATGAACCAATCTACAACTCATTACAGCACCATTCGACAATCAGGCACTGAACATCTAATTAATATCCAAATAATCACCTCATAGCCATATTACACACTATAAAATATCCTATTCTCTTCAGGTCTACGTATACATTCCACATCTTTCCATAATTATACCCAGATAACAAATAAATCTTCGGGTCTGCACTTGAATTCAATTTGCTGCTGAACTATCACTGGTATCACATATATTATTATTTCTTCACACAGTGTCTAAAAAATAATGCAACTCCAAAATCTACCTGTTCGCTTATTTCTGTTAACGCATATTTCGTCTGAAAACTCACACTGGATCCTATAGTAATATACAATATTAATTTAGTGTCCACCGAATTTAAGTCTTACATGTACTGTAACAGCTTAGGTCGATTGGTTAAGAGTTAACTTCAAGCAACTAAGCATATGTCAAAACAGCATAGTTCAGATATTCATTCGCTTTTTTATTTTGTGTAGGCGTTATGTTTCTAATTATCTTATATTGAGTGTTGAGAGGTCTCGTTTGTCTGAACAAGGAATCCCACGCTCCTGCGTGACTGCGCGAAGATCAAAATGAAGGCCTATTCTATACTAGTTTGGTTTCTTTTACTAATAATACGAGGGTTACCTACAGGCACAAAACTGGTGAGCCCAGGGAAACACAAATTTGATTTCATTTTTGAGTATTAAATTTATTTTTTTGTTTTACTTAGTTGTAAAAGTAGACCTTCTGATTATCCGTAAGCTAAGTTTGGTATATGTATTTATACATAGTTTTTTTGTTATCTTAAGGTATTCGTTCCGTAGTAACCACTTTTCGCGCAGAGTTTATTACTATATTGTTCGTATACCTCATGTCAGACTCAATACAAACCCAAAACCTGGAGGATTTGTTACCAGTGGAGATAAACACTGTTATGACTACGAAATCACGACTTCCAGAATTTGGTCGTAGCGATCCTGAGTTGTGGTTTGCTCAACTAGAGCATTATTTCATGAGATATAATGTCAAATCCTTCAGTCACCAAATAAGTCCGTGACTTGACTTTAAGCCTACCATCACCGCAACCGTACACCTTTTTAAGACGAGGGATCATGAACCGTTTATCATCATCAGACAATCAAAGAACCCAAAGGCTTTTCCAAGGAGAAACATTAGGTGATAGGTCGCCGTCACGGTTTTTACGTCACCTCCAAGTCTTAGTGGGTGATAACACAGTGAATGAAGCAGTCCTGAACCAAGGATGGATACAAGCTCTCCCATG